TCTCAGCTGAAGAACAAAACCAACCCTCATAAATCAGTTGTCTTATTCCAATTCACAGTTTTAACATGACAGTAACAACCACTTTTCTATGCATCAACTGTACAGTTGTAGAATTTGAAGACCCCACATATCAAGTTAGAAACATTTTGTTTTTAACATGTATTCTTGGAAAAGAATAACTGCAATAGTTTATACAGTTGGGTTTGCTTGCCCCCTGCTGGTTAAATTGGATTTCAATCATACTATTTCAACTGTAATAATTACACTTAAACTGTTCTCATAGAAGTAGCCAGTTTTTCCTGTGTTTTGGCAAATTTTTTCAGTTTAAATGAGGTGGAGAGAGAGAGAGAGAGAGAGAGAGAGAAAGAGAGAGAGAGAGAGAGAGAGGGTATATGTAGTAGACAGACATTTCTGTTGCACTCTCCCTTGATAGCTTTGTAATAGCCTGCTCAAGTACTGATTTCCTTCATTATATTGTAAAAAGAAAGGAACAGTGCTTTTAAAATTTAAATATTAGCACCAGACTAAACAATGTCTGGCATATAGAAGGGGCTCCGTAAATATTTAGTGAGACTGACAGAAAACTAAACAGAAAGACTGAAAGAGAAAAATGAGAAGGACTTACTCTTCTGGCCTCTATCTGGCAGAGAGATTTAAGGAATACTAAAAATCAACTTTAGCATGTGCCATGCTTAGGAAATAGAACCCAATTGAGTTGGCACAAACAGGCATTGTCCTAAGCACTTTAAAAATATGCTTAGCCATTATAATAATTTTATTAAACACTATTATTATCTATTTTACAGATGAGACTCAAGCAGGAAGAGGTTAAGTTAAATTCCTTAGTGTTAACTTGCTAGTAGGTGGTGGAACTGGGATTTGAACCTAGAGAGCTTGGCCCCACGGTTCATGCGTTTATCTAGTAGTATACAGCCTCTCCAAAGAATGTGAAGAGGAGATAAAGAAGACAAGTAGATGCAGAAGAATCACAGCAATCTTTCTACCCAAGTCACTTGTCTGTTGGTACATTAATTATATCAGAGATGATGGGCCATCTTCACCAATCCATTACACCTCTAAAGGGAAGTAATATTTGATCAGTAAAGGGTAAATATTAATAAGGTGTTGGAAAAGTTATGTTTTTCTATGTGAAAATGCATCATGACTTTTCTGATGACCCAATAGTAGCAGAGCAGGGTAAAGCATACGTAGTGTATGCTCTATGTTGTTTTGCTAATTTTCACACTCAAACAGTTCCTTTATTTCACTTCCTTTGCATTTGATTCACTTTTCTTTTTAGAGTATGGTCACACTGCAATCTCTCCTCCTTCATTTCTCCATCCTGTTGCGATTTTGGGCATGTGCATACATACGTGTGCTCAGGATTTTCAAGCTTCCAGGGATGAGATTTGAACCTCACGGTTGGTCATGTGGGTTCTGGCTTCCTTAACTACAGATCATGAAGCTGGCCTGATTTTAAATCTTTTCTAATGTAAGCACTTCGGGTCATAAATCTTCCTTGAAGATCTACTCATAGCACACACACACACACACACACACACACACACACAGGAATTGTTTAAATTTATACGAGAGCACATGTGCTTGTCAGAAACAGACAGAAAGATCAAAAAGAAAAGTTAGAAAGTAACACTCATTGGGGATGGTCATGCAGCAAGTCCCTTTTCTATTTCAGGATTTTGGAGAAAGACACACACACACGACCAGTGTCTTTCAGGCCACCAGGTCCATGACTCGAATCATCCAGTCGGCCACTTGGGATCCAACTGGCTCAACCACCATGCCACCAGCCAACTCTACTGCACAAATTTTGATGTTGTTTTCATGATCAATCAGTTCTCATATCCCTTATGATTTCTTCTTTGACCTGCTTTGACTTTCTAGATAGCTTATTATGTTTTATTTGATTATCGGGGGTAAGAGGGCATATTTTCTATATTAATCCCTTGTAATTAACTGAAAATTTATGGCCCAGCATTTGGCCTATCTTGATGTCTATCCAATGTGCATCTGTTGTGTGTGTAGTGTTCTATAAATGTCAACCATCTGATACCAACATAGCCATGCTAAATTTTTATGTTAAGTGTTGCATGATCTATCATTTTTACATTTTCTACTTTTAACCTGTCTGGTCTTTATATTTAACATGTTTTTCTTGAGAAGAACATATAATTGGATGTTTTAAAATGAGATTTTTTGCTATAGGGCACATGTACTCGCTGGAGAGAGAAAGTGAGAAATCACCCCCTGGGGGAAGGCCACACCACAATTCCTTTTTTCCCATTCTCTCAGGATTTGGGGCATGCATGCAACATGGCTTGAGTTTTAAGTTGTTGGGACTGGGAATCAAACTGTGGTCAACTACATGTGAGTCCAGTAATGTCACCATTATGCCATCTGCTGGTTTCTATAATTGGATTTTTTGTCCTGTCTTACTATCTTTTCCTTGTAGAGTTTAATCCACTTTAACTTAATTATTGATATGAGTGGATCTAAATCTACCATATTCCTGTTTTCCATTCTTAATTGCCAGAGGGCATGTGTGCTCACCAGGCAGAGGGAGAGGAAGAGAACATCCCCTCCACCCCCCGTGCCCCATCTGGCATGATCACACATCCATCCCTTGTTCTCCATTTCTCTATCCCATGGGATTTGGGGTACATTAGCACATGCACCTGGCATGTTTTTTAAGCCACTGGGGCCAGGATTGATTGAGGTTGGCTATGTGGGATCTAGTTCCCTTAACCACTAAGCCACAGGCCCTTTCTTTGTTATCACTTCCCCCCCTTCTTTCTTTACTATTTTGAGGAGGTAGGGTAAGGATAATGGTATTACTATTATTCCATTAAAAGAAGTTTATTTATTGAGAGAGAGAGACTGACCGAACAGGGTCTTTTCACACTGCATTCCTTACTCTAGCCCACCATCCAGCCAGGATTACAGATGCAAGTGGGTGTACCTAGTGTGTTTGGGTAGACCCAGGATCTGAACCCTGTGCCTTCCCATATGGCTCCAGTATTGTTCAGCAGTGTCCTACCATCTGTACCTACATGGCTCAGTCTATTATTCCATTCTATCTCCTTTACTGGCTTTTAGCTTTCTTAACGTTTTAATTCCTTCTTTATTGTGGTTGCTCTGGAGTTTATGATATACTTTCTTAACATATAATTTTTTTGCATCATCATTATTTCACATACAAGGACACGGCAACAGTATAATACCAATACTCTCCTTTCATCCTTTGTCTATGTTGTCACATATTTTATTTCTAATGTAACCCCACAGCCCATTGTCATTCATTTTGCTTTGGACAATCAGCTGTGGTTATTTTTTTGATAAAAGAAGGAAAACCTGGTTTTATATTTACCCACAGATTCACCATTTTCAGAGCTTTCATTTCTTCTTGTACATCTGAATTTCTATCTGGATATTGGTATCATTTTATGGCTGTGAAAACTGTAATTCAGAGATTAATAACTTATTTGGAACTAGCTGTGGTGAAATGGTTCTAAATACAGAATTTTCCCACCATCTCCCACACTGTGTGTGTGTATGCATGTGTGTGTGTGTGTGTATTACTCAATATCTATAATTAATGAGGGGCACTGTTTGAACTTTTAGTTATTACTTAAATGCATACAATAAATACATGGCTCAAAAGTCAACATAATACTGAGCATAAAAAATGGAATAAGGTGGGGCCGGGAGGTGGCATGGTGGTTAAATGCGCTGGACTCTCACATGGCTGACGATGGTTCGAGTCTTGGACCTAGTGGCTTGCTTTCTTGCTTACCCCCTCTTTCTTTCCCTCTCTCTGGTCAAATTAAGATAAGTAAATAAAGTTAAATAATTCTTTTAAAGAAAAATGGAATAACTACCAGTCACTGAGTATTTAAGAGAGTCCTATAGGAATTCTTTGTCAAAAACATACTCTACCTTTCCCATCTTTACAACTTATCTTTCTTAAATGAGGACACTTTAAAAATAATTCATATTTACTTTATCGTAACCAATTGTGGAGACACTGAAAATTCAAAACATTACAATTAGAAAAACAAGCTAATTTTTGGTGTTTCTATTTAAAAGTACAGGGACTGAATGATGACCTGGACATCTTGGGCTTCTTGGATAAATGAGTTAAGTAGTTATGATAGGTGGACCAGCAGATGGAGTAGTGGTTACACTGCTAACCTCCCAAGAGGTTGACTGCGGTTCGAGTCCCAGACCTGGTGGCTTGGAATTCACGTGGGACACGTATGTGTGTGTGGGTACCCAAGCTCCTGAGAGAATGGAGGAGACGGGATTGCAGTGTGCCCATCCCCCCCAGGGGGTGATTTCTCTCTTTCTGTTGTCTCTGTCTCTCTAGCGAGCACACATACCCTATGGCAAAAAATCTCTCTTAAAAAAAAAAAGTCATAGGATTAATTTGAATGAACTCATTAAGGAATTTATTATTATTATTTTTTATTTACTTATTTTTGGAGAGGTTTTTGCTATAGGGCATGTGTGCTCACCAGAAAGAGAGAGAGACATAGAGGCAGAAAACAAGAAATCACCCCCCTGGGGGACTGGCCACACCACAACCCCTTCTCCTCCATTCTCCTCTGGGGATCTTGGGCATGTGCGCACACACACCCGGTGTGAGTTTATGCCACTGGGTCGGGGACTTGAACCGTGGTCAACTACATGGGAGTCCAGTGACATAGCCATTACTCTAACTGTTGGTCTCTCATTAAGGAATTTAAAAACTGCCCACATTATCTAAAGAAAATGCTCTCACTACTTATAGGGCTAGTTCAAGATCAAAAAAGGGCAGGTACACATATAAGGCTAGACATAAGCAGAACACTTTAATAAACACATGAGTCTAAATTATTTAAAACTTAGCATACCCAAGAATCAATGAACAGAGTAGGAATAAGGGGTTATAATGTCTGTTAATAGAATTAAAGGAGGAGCAAATATTGTAAAAAACAAAATAAAATAAACAAACATTTTAATGAGACTTGTATTAGCGATGTTACAAAATTTGAGATTTCTGAAAGATTTTGAATAAGAAATTTAAAATAAGCTCATACTTAAAGTTAAAAACAAGTATTTGGGAAAAGTTAAGAATTTGTTATTCTGAAGAGAATGTAAGAATACACATTGTAGGAAAGATTGCTGGGGTTTCCCATATTTATTGTTTTACTTTTACGTATGTAGATTTAACTCCAGCTAGCAACAAAATTGAAGATCACAGCAAATGAAACCATTTTTGTCTTATAAACTATAAAGAACAGGCTACAAGTTCCTCATATTAGAAAAAAAATTAGCAAAATGAGCACCAACTTTAACCATGATCTTCTACATCAAAATATAGTCAAATACCAAAACAATTAAACATTTAAAATATTTGATTTTGTTCATACTGAAAGTGGGCTAGTCCTATTTTTACAGCATTTTCATTAAAATTTTTCCCCCAAAGCAATAGCTGTATTTTTAGCTGCTTGATAGCATCATATTTACTTCACATTTCTAGGAAAAAAAGACAATCCAACTTGGTTTATTTTTCTCCTTTCAGTCCAGATATTATATCAACTCTTAATTTTCCTTTACTGGTTTACCTACTTTCTGGATTCTTTTAATAATGTAGGCTCTTCATCTTTCACTACCCTGTCAAGTTTCAGGCTCTCAAAGGCTGGGGAATAATCAGACCATGGTATGATATGGGGTGATGCTTCTCAATGGATGTAGTTGCCAAAAAATAATTTTTGAACTGTCTGTTTTATATTATCCATTTAAAAATTCTTTACCCCATCATTAGTGAAAATAAGCCTTGATCAGTATCTAAATTTTTACCAGTCACATGTTAATTTCCCAGTTCTGGGATTTTAAAATCACCATAACTTATAAAAATGAAAATATACTTAACTCAGTTTTAAACAAAAATTTCATCATCTGAGCTATCTTGAAATTCTTTTGCTTAAAATATATTAAATATGAAACATATATCAAATTGAAATACCGTACACCTATAATATTTATAAGGAAAATTATTATTATATATTTCTCACTGGAAAAATCTGGTAACAAAAGAGTATCTCTTCCTTTCCTATCCTTTGGTCAAGTGGCACTTAAAAAGAATTATTTGGGAATAACAATATATTTTCAAGATAAGTTATTTTAATATTCCTCAGAGTAAATCATTTAAAAACCCAAAATTTATTTTATCATTAAGAAAAAAAAACCCAAAAAACAAGATATTTCTACTATTCTTTTTGGCTCCAGAAATGAAATTTATTTTGCTTTCCTTCCCAGTCCTCTGAGATTTTAGAAGACCTATGGTTTCTTCTTTTAGTGTGTGATAATGAGAATTCTCCAGATTTCTACATTTGAAAAAAAAAATGGGAGAGAATATGGTCAGGCATACTGCACATAAGAGATTAAGAACATAATAAGTAAGGAGATTCGGAAGCAAGCAGTAATACATGCATTGCCTATACAAAACAAAAAACTGACGAAAAACTGACCTGCTTTTTCTTATTGGCATGTGCCAGTATTATACAATGTCAGTGATAATATATTCCTACTTTCCGAGGTGGAAGGCTCGTACTCTCCCCTCTCACCCCTTTTGGTATACCACTGATGGAGAGTCTCTCATTTTCTCATAAAGTTTTCTGCTTTATTTCTTTTAACAAACTTAAAAAAAAAAAAAAAAAACTAGTTCATCAAAAAGTACTTACACGTATTTACTTTGGTACTTACTGATTTTCTTCATGCTCAAATCAATGTTTGTGTCATTTTATATCCAGTTGTCAGGAAAGCAAGAGTAAATATGGAAGCACTAAAAAAGCAAAGATTCTAAGAAAACAAGATATTTAAATAAAACATCAGATTAGCATCTTTTCATGGAGATTAATTAAAAATATGGGTGAAAATGAAAAGTCCTGAAATTCATGGTTGCATTTAGAAAATGGAAAGCACGGCACACTTAAGTTAGATGAAGAAGGTTAAGAAAGGAATGCCATGTATTATTTTAAATCTAAATAAAATTGTAATAACTGTATGTAAGTTGATTTTTTTTTCTTTCCTTAAAGATGTATGTATTTGCTTGAGAGAGAAAGAGGGAAAATCGAGAAATCATCCCCCGAGGACATGATCACGCCACAATCCCTTCTCCTCCATTCTCCTTCTGGGATTTTAGGCACATACACATACATGGCTGGCCTGCTTCTCTAAGGCGCCAGTCTGGGACTCAAAATGTGGAGTTGGCCAAGTGGGATCCAGTGCCTTAACCACCATGCCATCTGCTGGCTCCCTGAAGTTAAGTTTTTGAAAGCAAATATTAGTCAATATTCAAGCTGCTATCTTTCTTATTCAATACTTAAATACTGAGCTGAAGATACTTTAGGAAGCAACGTCAAGATAAGACTTCGAGATGACTTTAGATGGAAAAAAATCGGTAATGTGCTTATCAAATAATTTACAAAACCGTTTCCCATAAACTGTGTGATCTCATTTGAGCTCTCAATAGTCCTGTGAGCAGACTCTACAGCACAGTGAGAGGTAGTATTTATCTGAAGATAGAATACCAGCTCTACCACCTAGTAATTGTAGGAACTTGAGGTTACTTAAATGCTTTGCATCTTGGTCTCTCCATATGAAAAACTGGGTAATGACTGTCCCCCACCTTAGAGCTGTAGTGGGATTAAACGAGATTATGCATATAACAGTGCCTGATCCATAGTGCTCAATATAATGTTATTATTGTTATTACCTTCCAGATTAAGAAAATAGACTAGGAAAGATTATATTCGAAGTGGTATGATTACTAAATGGCAAAACTAGTAGTGGAATTCTAGTCTGGATATATTCCTACTATTCTGTGTTACCGATGAATATCTACATTTAATTAAAGTAAATATTATCTTTTTGCACTAATTTTAAAGTTTATTTTTGAAGCTGAAAATTACATTTAAGTTTGACAGATTCAATAGTATTATTAATGCAATTTTCTATTTAAAAATCAGCTTCTTTTAGTGGAAACAGTAGTTAATGACAGGCATTAAATAGAATGTGGTCTCTATGGAAAATTAGGGTGAAGACTAAAATCAAGGTCTAGAAAGAATAAACTTTGATTTTTCTTTAAACCTTCAGAAAAGTGGAAATACAGTCTGTGAGTTAGAAAATGGCAGAAAGAATGTGAGCTCTGTGAGAGGAGGGATATTTGTTTACTTCTTTATCTCTAGACTCTAGAACAGTGATTGGTAGGTGCACAAACATGGTTAATAAATAAGTTTAAAAAATCAACTTTAAAACATATCTTAACAGCTGGATTCACTCTTTTCTGACATGCATTCCTTTCTAATATTAACTAGAGTATAACTAAAAAGTCTACCATATAGTCACCTACCCATAAAAGAAGGGATTTTTATCAAAAGGCTCAGAGTAAGAAATAAAAGACTAAATAAGGCCTTGAATAGCTTTATTGAAATCTGTATAAATAAACATGCACATTTCAAATGTAAACTCAAGTGAACTCAGGTGCAGACAAAATTTTAACCTCTGTCATGCAGGAGGTTAGTTTACATTAGGAAAAAAAAAGAAAAAAGAAAAAAAGAAAAAGATAAAAGAAAAAGAAAAAAAAACTCAAAGCAGCTTTTAAAATACCAGGATGAAAACCCAGCTTTAATATCAAGGTATAAAGCAAAGCCATGATCAACATACCTCATTTATCCTGGTCAAATGCTTTTTTTTTTTTTTTAACTTTTAAATGCTAACATAAATAAATAATTTACCAAAATGTGCACTCACAGAGTGAACTTTTATTTACAATACACAATTTATAATCTATTGTATTTGATTAGTTCAAGTGAAGAACATTATACTTTTTGCTTTAGTAACAGTGGGACACAAAGCAATTTCTCAGGTAGTCGATATGTGAAATGTGCCCCAGCATTTAGATTTTCTATTAAAGGCAGTATTGTATGCCAATTGACAATACATTCTTTCAACTAGATCAAAGGGAAAAAAAGCAGCAAATGAAAATGTTTCAAATGTTCACACATATTTTTGGCATCCTGGATCCTTGAATGTGGTGAGCTAAAATCAAATTCAAGGTTTGTATGCTTTATATACTGTACAGGTTCTGACTCTGGAACATGCAAATGCCATTTTTCTTATAACAAGTTACCTTCTGAGAAAAGCTGTAAGGCTATGGTGAATTCCATCAGGAACACACAAAGAAAGTTAACAGACCTACCTTTATAGCCAATTGTCCATTAATGATTTAAAGGCCAGTATATGAAAAAATTCTCTCATCTAAGAATGATGCAATTATTACTATGAATACAGAATACTATTGTCTGTCCTTATATTACAGTAATTCAGATAGCTAAAAGTTGCCAAATGACCAAAAAATGGGGTAGAGAAAAACAGACAGCAAAAATTTTAATTTTGGACCAACACCAGATTAAAGATATGTATCTTAAAACAAGTAAAAATAATCGTATGTTTAAAGAATAGATCCTAATAGCAGTAAAAAAAAATACTTACATGTAACTGAAAAATGACTTTAGATGGAGTATGAAATCTAGAACCTGTTTCTACAGTGGCAGTAAGATGAATATAATATTCTGGATTCTTAATGATACTACAAAAGAAAGTAACTTTTTGAAGACTGTTTCTTGTATCATGATTTGTTTTTTTACTAGGCCCACGTTGATTACCAGGGATAGATTTGAAAATTTGGTTTTCTGAGAATACTACTGCAGTATTTATGCCACATTGATACTGCAGCAAAATATCATAGTAGTATATATGGCAGCCTAATGCACATGAACTAGATTATCCAAAAACTAAGTTCAGCCAGTTTTCTTGCAGTATTATTAGAGCAAAATAAATTACCAACATCCACAATTTTAACATTTGTCATCAATTAACTCACATCCAAAAAATTATAAAGAAAACATAATTCATCAAAACAGCAGCAAACTTAAAAGGGATTTATTTGTGATTTCCTATATATATTTAGCTTGTAAATACAAGACTGTAAATGTATTAAGAGACAATTTCTGTTAAAGTTTTCATTGTGTTTCACTTCAAGTACTGCACAAGTTAAAATCTGATAAAGGATTTACATTCGGTTATCTGAAACTCCCCATCTCAGACTTTTGTTTTAATGTGGTGGGTAACTTCATCATTTCCATAGATACCACCAGCAGGAAAGTCTCTTTTTATGGCTTCTAGGACTTTCATTAGTTAGTGTGCATACAATTTTCGTTTTCTATGTCATTGTCATTATCATTGCTATCTTCATCACTTTCTAATGGGATGCCTGTGGCAGCTGAAGCACCTTTAGTTTCTCGGTCAAGAGGAAAAAAGCCAGTTCCACTGAAAGTGTCTTGTCTCTGGTAGAAGAGTACATATGCTGCTTTGGACTGTCAAAAAAAAAAAAAAAAAAAAAAAAAGAGAAATTATATTAAAATGGTGATGATTCTCAAAGATCAGATTAATCAGTATAAATTTTTGGCTGGTAACCATTTTTGGTGACAGAGCATAAATCAATTTTAAAACACAATCAAAGGAAAGTTACTAAACCTGTTTAAATATAAGGTGACTTCTATGTATCAAAGAAGAATATCTCAGAATTAAAAATTTATATTCTCTTGGGGACCAGCAGGTGGCATGGTGGTTAAGGTGCTGGACACTCCCACAAGGCTGACCATGGTTCAAGTCCTGGACCTGGTAGCTTGCTTTCTCACTTTCTCTCTCTCTCTGTCTGTCTCTCTCTCTCTGATCAAATTAAAATAAATGAATGAATAAATAAAATAAATAAAGTTAAATAATTCTTTGAAAAAATATTTATATTCTCTTCTGTTACTTGGACCAAGAAATAAGTACAACTATACCAGAGATTAACCTAGTTACTTGAACATGAATAAGAATTCTATGTTCTCTTTCCTAAAGGTAAGCTTCTTTATATCTAATATCAATTAAGTTTTATTAATTTTATCCAACATATAAATTAATCCTCCCTTTGTCTATCCTATTATTACCAGTATAATTCCTCAAATTACTGTGACAATGTCCTGCATGATCCTTCTGCTTCTTTACTGTGTCTTCAAATAAATCTATTTCCTATAGTGTTCTCACAGAGATGCTAAGATACAAGTGTGTCATCCTACTGCTGAATAGTCATCGAGTGGCTTCTCACAGCCATCAAGAAAACATCAAAATAATGAGGCTGTCATTTTCTCTTTTTATTTTTTAATTGCCAGAGTGTATTTGTACTCAAGCATGCATGCAAAAGAGAGGGAGGATGAGAAAGCACTCCAAAATAGCGGTATGGTCATGTCGCAATTCCTTCTTCATTTTCCCACGTTTTCGGGACTATGATCACGCACAGGCACCTGGTATATTTTTCAAGCTGCCAGGGTTGGGATTTGCATTGCAGTTGGTCATGTGAGACCCAGCTCCCTTAATGTATATGTTACAGGGCCACCTCAGGATGTTACTTTTCTTGATCAGAGCATTAAATTTATCTCTAGCCTAATTTCTTCTCCATATTCCCGACAAGATCTTTTCTTTTACCGTCATTACAGAATGTCACATTTTGTAATGCCTCCTTGTTTTTTTTTTTAAAATTACCAGATGGTGCCTGCTAAGCTAAGGGGCCAGCCCGATTCCCTGCTTTTGTAGGTACATTTTTTTTTTTTCCTCTTTAGAACGTCTTTGCTTCTTTTGTCTAATTTACTCTTATTTATACTAGCAGTCTTAGGTCAAACACCACCTTCCCTACAATTCCCTGCGATGATCTCGTCCCCTTCAAACCCCAAATCTGAGTTGAGACAGCAGAAACCTTTCTATGTGGTCACAGCAAGATACCTGGCAGTACTTAAAATTACTGTACTTATTAATTTACTTGTCTGTCTTCTTTAGATTATAAGCTTCTTGAAATGAGCTGTCTTTTAACCCTGTTTAGGATAGAGTCCTACATGTAAAACCTATATAGGCACATAAATATTTGACTAAATGAAGAATCATCAGTTAAAATGCATGGTAACATCAAATTCATATATTGTACCAAAACAAGATATATTGTTTGTTGAAGGAAGAATTAGGGAGGTGTTGTTGAAGACACTCCAAAGGAGGATGTGAGTAATTAAAGGATGTTTGGGTTAGAAGATTAAAGAACAGAATAGATTGCTGTGTTATGCACCTCCCCAGCCTAAAAGCCAAGTGCACTGGGCTTTTCAGGAAAGGTGAAGAATTAACCTGGGCCTCTCATATAGGCTCAGCTTGCCACAGGGCAGTGTCCAGCAAATACTACCATGAATGAGCCACAGATGTTACAAAATGTTCAAGTCTCTTTTTGTTATAGATATAGGGAGAGAAGCAATAGTATATGTATATATACACACACACAGAAGAAATTAAAAATTATTTAGACTTATTCACGCAATGAGAGATTAAAGCTGTGCTAATAATCGAGCTCCGAAGTTCAGGGGACCAGCAGTTAGCGTAATGGCTATGTCACTGGACTCCCATGTAGTTGACTGTGGTTCGAGTCCCGGACCCGGTGGCTTAAACTCACACATGGCACGTGTGCGTGCGTGCCCAAGATCCTGAGAGGAGAATGGAGGAGAAGGGATTGTGGCGTGGCTATCCTCCCTGGAGGGTGATTTCTCACTTTCTATCTCTCTGTCTCTCTCTGTCTGTCTGGCGAGTGCACGCGCCCTATAGCAAAAACCTCTCTCTCTCTCAAAAAAAAAAAGAAGTTTATTAATTTACTTAAATAAGTGAAGAATTTAAAGTACTGTAAACCCCAAAGCTAGTCTCTGTCCTCAATTAATACATAATTTAACCTAGGAGACAAAGTCAGGCAGTCAATGTTCCTTACATCAGGAGAAACTCTTCAGTAGAGAAACTCTTATTCAAACAGTCATTAGCTTTCTTTTTATTGGGTCATTGGAAAAGTCATGACTTATTTTTTCCATGTTTTTCTATGCAAAAATGTGTCATGACTTCTTTGAGGACTCAATAGAACACATTATTGTCATACTCCACCAATAAATCTGAAAATTAAACATCTGCTCTTATGTGAAGTATGGCAGTATTTTGGCTCAAGCTGTGGATAATAAATTGATACACATGTAAATAAATGTAACTTCATTTTTCTACTATTCAGAAAATATAAAAGTAGATAAACGAAACACCTATTATGAGGTTAAATGATTAATTGCCATAAGGCAGGCTAAGACTAAAGGCTGTAGGTATGGTAAAGATTGTAGTATTCTGACTTTAAGGAATCAGTGTCCAAGAATGCAAGTTATACCTACTTCACACAGGAAAGCTTTATTATTTTCATTACAAACTCTATTTATATTGAAAATTACTCCCAAACTTTTCACTTTACAATGTATACTTTTATTATAGTTTCAAGTTTAGATGACAAATTTCCACTTAGAGGATAATTTATTTAAATCAGACCAAATCTTAGCTGCCACAATTACCAAAATATTGGGTCATTGAAAAAGTCATGACACATTTTTCTGTTTCTCTATGCAAAAATGCATCATGACATTTCCAATGACCCAATAAGTATGCTAGTGTTCCATGGGCCTCATTTATTAATTTATTGCCACTCCTTGAAACAGTGAGTTCCATGATTTTCAGGAAATATAAGATATACTTACCACAATTTGGTCTTCAGATGCAATGGAGACACTACTGTCATCAAAATAGTACCACTTTCCATCATCTTTATTTTTTGCAAAAGCAGTATCTAATGAAAAAATATAACAATTTCTGTGACTAAAATAATCTATAGTTCTATGGGGAATCTTCAAAAGTCTGCATCATCTCCATAAGGAAAATCTATTAAAATTACACAATAATCATCTGAGGCCTATTTATTATACATTCAACTGATTCAAAAAATTAAAGATTTTAAGGATAATTTCCTATAATCTAGATGCCTAAAATACTTTTTATAGCTGTGGTAACTAGTGACTTTTTTCTTCCCAGGAGAAAAATGAAACAGATTTATAATTCTGAAAGTCACAGAATAACAGTATTAATAACAATAAATGGTAATTAACATTTATATAGTGCTTACTGTATACTAAGTACAGTGGTATGCACTTTACATGTATTATCTTATAAAGAAGGTATTATTGTTATTACTCTTCCTACTTTAGAAAAGGAATATTGAGGCATCAAATGAAAGGTAATTTACACAGGTAGTAAAGCTGTTAAGTAGCAGAGCCAGGATTTAAAGTTAGGTCTATCTCTGACCCTGAAGTTTAAATCTTTTTTTTTTTTTTTTTTTTTGAGAGGTTTTTTGCTAAAGGGTGTGCGTGCTTGCCAGACAGAGAGAAAGCAAGAAATCACTCCCCACGGGGGATGGCCACGTCGCAATCCCTTCTCCTCTGTTCTCCTCTTGGGATCTTGGGCACACACGCACACGCGCCTGGTGTGAGTTTTAAGCCACCAGGTCCGGGACGCAAACCGCGGTTGGCTACATGGGGGTCCAGCGACATAGCCATTATGCTAACTGTTGGTCCCTGAAGTTTAAATCTTAAACTAGTATTTCTATTTCTTTTCTGACAACTCTACTCATTAATCTGTCCTGTTGTTTTTTTTTTTTACACCAAAATCTCTTTTGGTCTTAAAGTACAGAGTAAAGGGCCAGCATGGCATTGGGGCTTAAGGTGGCTGGATCCCACGTGGCCAACAGCATGGTTCGAGTTCCAGACCCGACAGCTCAAAAATCAACCCAGGCATGTGTGTGTGCATGCCCAAAGTCCTGAGAGGAGAATGGAGGAGAGGGGACTGTGGCATGGCCATCCCCTCTGGGGGGCTGATTTCTCACTTTCTCTCTCACTCTCTGTCTCTTTCTGGTGAGCGCACATACCATATAGCAAAAACAAAAAACAAAACAAAAAACCTAAAGAAAAAGTAAATAAAAAGAACAAAATAATTATTTTTTGTAATTTTTAAAGATGCCTTTTACCTTTAATTAAAACAAACACCATTCCCACTCCACTCTGTAAAACTACCCAATGACTGAGAAAACAAAAGTACAACATTCTCCCTAAATAACTGTCTGTGGTCATAGCTTCCAAAAAATAATACTTTATAAGAATGACTCCTAATAGTCATGACAAAACAAGAAATATTCTTCTGTCTCAGATATATGAATTGAGGTAGTTATCCTTGACATGGCTGAAGTCAAAAAGTAACATACTCCTAAGTTACCGTACTGGCTAACATTCAGAGGAAAATAAAATTATTTTGGAAGTAAAGCAAGCATGAATTTAAGAGTTAGTCCTTCTATCTTTGGTGAAGCTCCACTGGCAGCCAGAAGAAAATTTTAAAAAAAAGGTTGCCAAGTGTACATATACTCATGAAGAGAGACAAACAGACTAGTGGGGCACAGGAAGTGGCGGTGGTGGGAGGGTATGGAGGGAGCAGAAAGCATTCTCCCACATAGCACGGCCACTTTGCAATCCCTTCCCCTCCCTTTCTTCATTCTGTTGGGATTCTGGCCATGTATGCACATGTATGCAACGTGTTCTTTAAGCTACTGGGAGATTCAAACTGTAGTTTACCATGCGGGATCTGACTGCCTTAACCACGAGGCTAGAGGGCTAGCTGGAGAAGGCAATTTAAAAGATAGACAAACCAACTAGCCGGCAACAAACCAACTAAAAAAAATACAACAGTTTAAATTCCAAGTCATTTATTTGATATTTATTGAGCACCTGCCATGTGGGAAAATGTCTCATATCATACTTGAGTGGTTTTGAAAAGTGGCTACCGGGATTGGTATGTGGTGGGGTGATTAAAAGTGTTAGATTCCCACATGGTCTACTGCAGTTCAACTCTCGGACCAGACAACTTGCTTTCTTGCATTCCCCTTTTCTCTTTCTCTGGTCAAATTAAAAAATAATGACATATGGAATTAAGTAATTCTTAAAAAAAAAAAAAAAGGAAAAGGTGGCTATAAAATATGAGCAGAGAGCAGAAAGAAGCAATGATAAGATAGATTAGAAGCGAGCTTTTAAATTTTCACATGTGGGACAACCGTTACTTGGTTCACCATTACAGAAATCAGCAATATTCAGGTCCACCTCAGTCAGGGGTAGTGTGTTGTTTAGAAGTCCTGTTGGGCTAACAAAATATTTGTCAGCTAGTACGGCTCTACCTGGGCCATACAGCTAAAAGTTGGCCTCGGGAGGAGTTGAACGAAACAGTGGTTGGTGGACCAGCTTTCTTTGGGCATGTCCTTCTCCCTTCTCTCCCCTTTCAACTACGTAAGACTTCTGTTTAGCTGGTGCCATGCATGCTGTGTTGTTTTCTTAGCCTACGCCCTTTCTTCAAACTGAGTAAACCTGGTGCTGTGTATAGTCTATGGTGTATTGTGAGTTGGTCAATCTGAATTCAAGACCACTGCAGAACAGACACTACCATTTACAAAATGGGGAAAAAATTTCTCAGACTGAATTTAAAAAATAAATAAACAGAAAATAAGTTCAGGGTAAAACATGTCATCTGAAAAAAATACAAAAGGGTTGAAAAAGAATGTCAAATCCTGGTACAGGAATAATTTAAAACATCAACTAATACAACTACTAGGGGAAAAAAAAAGAGCAACTTTTTTTAGTAAGAGTCCTGACAAATTCCTCTCAGGAACGTAATACACAGAACAACTAGAGATAGTATGACTTGAATACAATTGATAAGCGTAAACTAGTAGAGATATATGAACTCTGTGGGAATAAATACATATATATTTTTAAGCATACATGTAAGAAACAGACCATATATTAAAGTCCTTTTGGAGACTAGCAGATGGTGTAATGGTTACACTGCTAGAGTCCCACGTAGTTGACCGTGGTTAAAGTCCCTGACCAGTGACTTAAAACTGATGCAGGGTGTGTGTGTGTGTGCGTGCGCGCCTGCCGAAAAAACTGAGAGGAGAATGGAGGAGAAGGAATTACAGTGTGGCCAACCTCCTGCCGGGGGGAGGGGTGACTTCTCACTTTCTGTCTGTCTCTGTATCTCCAGTGAGTGCACGTGTCCTACAGCAAAAATCTTTCTCTAAAAAAAAAAATAAATAAATAAAGTCCATTTGGAAGCTTCAAAATCCCTGAGGTTCTCAATTGTCAAAATTGTAAAATTAAAAACAAAGTGACAGCTTAAAAATCCCCATGTATTTGTAAACTGAGCATATGTTGGAATAAGCCTGAGCTAATAAATCAAAGAAAAAATTAAAAAATCTACAAAAGTGAAAGATAACAAAAATGCTACCTTTAAAAATTCATGGAATAGAGCTAAAGTAGTACTTAATGGGAAATGTATGGCTTTCGTTATAGCCTTTAACACAGGGAAAACAATGAAAAGCAAAAACCTAACAAGCATTTAACTGAGGATGCTGGAAAAAGGGAACATAGTAAACCTAAAGTAAAAAGAAGAATATGGGGCTGGCAGGTGGAGTGGTGGTTAGGGGCGCTGGACTCCCACATGGCCAACCATGGTTCAAGTTTCGGACCTGGTGGCTGACTTTCTTACTTTCCCTTTCTCTCTCTCCTCTTTCTGGTCAAATTAAAAAATAATGATAACAAATGTATTTAAATAAATAAAATAAATCTTTTAAAAAAAGAAAAATATGGAGAAAAAAATAAATGAAATAGAATACATATAAAAACAAAAAGAAAAAAGTTAATAAAATGAAAAAGCAAATTGTTTAAAAGATTCCTATACTAAAACATACCCTTTTGAAGAATGATTACAAGAAAGAAAAAAGAATGGAAAGGACAAAACATTGCATAAAAATATGATAAACAACTATTCCCAAATAAATTAAAAAATCTAGATGGATACAGTTTTAGAAATAAAGGGTCAAAATATATACAACAGGAAAAAGAAAACTAGATCAATAAACATAGTATAAATAAAAAAAAGTGTATGGTTATAAAGCCCATATGGTTTATATAGGCCAATTCTGCAAGACTTTCATGAACAGTTTATTTCTATATTGTACTAATTGTTCCAGGAAACAGAAAAAGAATAAAGCACTCAAGCTTATGATTGATTCCAAAGCCAGATGACAATATAAAAAAATTATGAGTACATTTCACTTACAAACAAAACTGGAACAATCCTAAATAAAATTAGCTAACAAAATCCAACTGTGTATCAAAAAACAAAGTTGGTCCACTATATCTGTGGGCTCCACATATGCAGATTTAAACAAACATGGATTAAAAATGTTAAGTTGTTGCTAGTATGTACTATGTAGTTAAGCCTGTGATGGTTGCATCTATAATGAACATGTACAGATCTTTTTCCTTGACATTATTCCCTGAACAATACAACAGAACAACTATTTACATGGCATTTACACTGCATCAGGTATTATGAGTAATACAGAAATGGTGTAAAATTTACAGGAGCACATGCATAGGTTATATGTAAATACTATGCCATTTAAATAAGGGACTTGAGCATCTGTAGATTTTAGTATCTGAGGGGGTCCTGGAATTAATCTCTTAGAGATACCAAGGAATATTGTACATAAAAGTAAGTAGGCTATATCCAAAAATGCAAAGATGATTCAACAGAAAAATCTAACTGGGGGAATGAATAGGAGTGAATACTGAAACAGCCATCTTGGAGAGTAACTTGGTAGTGCTTAAAAACTCATTTAAACCTAGCAATTTCACTTCTGAGGATACAGACTGAAGAAATTCTCTTATGGGAGACCATAAACAATGATGTTTATCAGTATTGTGGTGGGAGAAAGTTAAAATAGTTTGAGTGTCCATCATGGATTAGGCGATTGGAGAGAGAAAATATAGCAGACAAATGGTAAGAAGCAACAGGTAATGAACAGAAGGTAACCTGGATCATTTTGTCACAGCAAAGTCTTATCTATAACACAGTATCAGTTCTGTAAATTGACTACATGACTTGCAAGAGTATATCCATCAAACATGTTAGAAAGGAAAGGAAGGAATATGGAGAAAGACAGGCAACCCATTTAGACTAATGAGCTCCTTCCTAGGTTTTGGACTGAGGAATATGAGTAACTCAATCCTCTATACCTGCTGTAAAAAAAGTTAAAAAGCTTTGGTTGATTCTTTAATTACTATGGAAAAAACACTATATGCAAGACATGTCTGATACTTTAACTTGAAAAATAAATATCTTAAGGGAGAAAGTCTGGAGTTAACCATGATTTGGGCTGAAAGGTAAATGATCAACTTACAATGTCCTCCTCCCATCCCTCCATAGTGGTTGGAAACAGCAATCAAATTATAGCGGCAAGGGCCTGCATTTGGGTTAATTAGAAATTCTGACATATCCAAGTCACTGTTTTAAAAAAAAAAGGAAAAAGAAAAAATCAAGTTAGATTATGTGTTCCCTGAATGCAATAAATTCTAGTCTCTTCTGTTAGGGTTGCTTGGCTCTCAATTACATATACATTTCACTAAAGAAATTTTGTTTTATTTTAGGTTTTTGCCATGAGGCATGTGTGCTTGCCAAAGAGAAACAGAAAGAAGAAAAGTGAGAAATCCCCTCAGGGGACATGGCCATGCTGCAGTCCCTTCTCCTCTTGGGATTTTGGTCATGTGCACATACACATGCACACACACACACACACAGCTTAATTTCAAGCCACTGGGAACCACCTGCTGGCCCCAAGAAATGTTTTTCTTAATTGGCAGAGAGAGGGGAGAAAAGGAACCACCTGCTGCGACCCCTCCCCAGTGGAGAGTGGTAATGCCACAATCCTTTTTCTTCTATTTCTCCTTCCTGTCAGGGTTCTTGGCAGGCATGCATGCACATGTGCATGGCACATTTTTTCATGCTGTAGGTCATCACGATTCCAATCACTATTAGCTGTAGGGGATCCCGCTTCTGATGCATAGCATTGTGCTACAGGACCAGTCCACTGAAGAAATGGTTAAGAGCCAAATAACTCTTATAAAGTAGATTATGTATGTGCTCCTCCGATTTAAGAAAAAATTACTTCATTTTATTCATTACTATTATTTTTAAATTTGCTATAAGGCAACGTGTGTTCATCAGAGAGAAACAGAGAAAGAGAGAGAAGGTGACAAAAGCAAGCCTCCAGGTCCAAGACTGGAGCCATGATCAGTTATGTGGGAATCTACCACTTTAACACCAAGCTACCTGCTGGCACTGCTCTTTAGATTTTAATGTTTTGGTAAAAATTTGCGTGGGGGTTGGGACCAGCAGTTGGCATAATGGCTATGTCGCTGGACTCCCATGTAGTTGACCATGTTCCCGTCTCGGACCTGGTGGCTTAAACTCACGCTGGGCGCATGTACATGCATGCTCAAGATCTCAAGGGGAGAATGGAGAAGGGATTGCGGCGTGGCCATTCCCCTGGGAGATGATTTCTCACTTTCAGTCTCTCTGTCTTTCTGGTGAGTGTGCAAGCCCTATAGCAAAAAAGAAAAAAAAAATGGGTAGGGATTGAGAATTTTAAAATGCTTCATTGAATAGTGAGTTAGCATGAATGTTTCATGCTAATATATTTAACTCTCATTATACCAGGAAAAATATTTGCTACCATTTACCATCTGGGTCTAACTTTATTTTGAGGTCATTTTTAGAAATAATTTATATAAGGAAAAAAATAATGGAATAGTGAAAAACAACTTATAAATTTTTAAGAATTTAATATATCAAATTCTAATCCTTATTCTGATTTTTTTCTGATTTTGATGACCTATAGAACCAAAATGGGCAATGTCCTTTGAATACGACTTACTGTTCATAATCTGTCATGCATGAACATAGAACATGACCATCTTGTAAACGGCTTATTATTATTTCTGGTTGTTTTTATACTTGTATCATTAATACATTATAATTTTATAACAATAATAATTTATATTATAAATTTTAAATACATCTGTAATACAGTCTAGTTTACAATTACTTCTTGTTCTTTGTCTTGCAATTACATCATCAAAAGGCAACCTTCTTGAAAACTTTAAAGATTCACAAATTTGTTAAAAAAAAAAAAGAATGATCACTTTTATTGGGCTCTCAGAACAGTCATGTGTATTTTTTTGTTTTTCTATGCAAAAATTTATCACAACTCCAACAACTCAATAGTTGCAAAATATTTTAAATTATAAACACTGATTAAATGAGCAATTTTTACTTTCAATTTAAGATCATCTATTTCTTTCTAATCACATATTTGCCTTCAGCAACTGTCCACTTAGTAACTGCATAGCAAGTAAATTCTGGTGTGGTATACACATATAAAATATTGTTACATGTTCTTTTGTAAAATGGGATAATACCAAGTCCTTGTTGCAAGATACTGTGTTGATGAAGTTCTCCTGC